CACTTGTTAATTTTCATCTTTTGATTGTAGTATATACTGGAAGAGATGAAGTGAAATATTTCCGGAAATAAACTGTGCAGTACTGTGCTGCTGGGTTGTCTACACGAGAGCAAATGATCGAAAGATCAGTATCAAACAGACCTTAGGGTGTGAATAGGAGTCCCAACTTTCAGTTGACTTACTACTCAGTCTACTATCAGCTGGGAAGCATCAAATATCCATGTATCGAAAGTCTACGTGGACAAGACAATGTCTGCACTATCGAAGTTTTTGTCCAGTGGGATGGAAACTTAGTCTGGCTTGTACTATATTTCACAGTGTTCTCCGAACATGTAGCCCTCGTGTCCTGTCAGATGAACTATAGACGGATTGACCCTCAGTTTGCTGAAATATATTTTATGTATGTGTGCTATCCTGTTACCTTCATTCATTCATAAATAAACCAATCCTGTCAGCCCCAAGTCAATCACCCTAAAGACCAAGAAGAAATACATCTATATCGAACTACTTTTCAGAGGAGATTTGATGACAACAAATACAGCTCGTCAATTAGCACACGCCGTCGAGAGAACGTACAACTGCGCTAGAAAATTTATTCTCTATAGGACATTTCACTGCATCGCTTGTACTAATCTAGATTGAGGGAATGTTAGGGTTATCGCCAAGTGTATCTATCTATTTCACTGTACCTGCGGTTAGAGGTACATCGAGAACGTCGTCCATTAACCCGAATGCCCCACAAAAGTCTTTTTCTTCACGAAGGGAAACTACTATCCACTGTAATTACACGGCATTTTTTATACTCCGGCTACCAGGTATAAGTACCAAAAACATTTCGCGTCATTACGAAACCTCAAAGTTAACGAACGTTGCGAGGTTTTGAAGTACTACTTCATTCATGGCTTAAAACCGCAATTATGTGCGCAAAAGACATTGATGACTCAACGGCTGTTGTTATGATAGTGGTTAATTCACGCTTGATGACGTTATGCAGGGCATCACCTCCCCCTCTCTCTATCTCGCTCCACACCTCGTTCACCACTGCTTAAACCAGTTCACTTACATATCAATCACATTTTGTCAACTGACGTGACCTCAACACGTAACCCAACCGAAATCACACAACTCACTGGTTCACAAACTTGTTCAAATGACTCATTTCAACTCCGATATCTCTTTGTTTGATATGATCGTATAAATGTGCAATTAAAGCCGAATGAGAGCACGTGAAATTGACGGCAAATATCAATGTTGCGCACATGTCTCATGCTAATGAAAGCAGTAGGAAAATCGCTTTGGACACAATAGTGGTTAGCTACAGAAACATCTGATTATAGTAAAACGGATAACGCTGCCGAAACCTGAATGTTTTGTGTGGCTANGTGTGGCTAACTATACTCTGCGTTGCCCCATATCCGGAAATTTTTCGTTTGTGAGCAAAAGTAAGTAAAACCACAAGGTTAAGCTAATTAATTGACCGTGAGAAATAATGAAACACGATTTTCTGAATTTAATTTCAGCAGTGTCCGCCATGTTCACCTGTTGAAAATTCGACGACGCTTTCATAATGCCTAAACCTCCCCATCTCCGCTCACCCTATCTTTAAACCATTTTTATTGAGATGAGAAAAAGTGAATGGGCCATTTCTGATTCGTCAATACGGGACCGCGAAAACACACTCCGTGTCACGTGATGCGGTTCACCTCTGCCCTCAGATTGGTTCATTACATGTACGCATGTCCATCGCACCTGTGATGAACGCGTGCCAAACGTCAATGAAACGGATTGGCCAGTGACATGAAATTCATAGTACATAACCTCTACTCAATACGGATGCGCTATCACACGGACACACGTACGGTTGCTCGCTCTCAACTCCGATTTGGTAAGTCACACAATTTGCTCTCCAATGCGTGGACTAATTGAAAACCTCATCAGGCGTTCGAATTAGACGTTAACTGTTCTGATTTTACTATCACCCTTAGACATCATGCAACAAGCGAAGAATTCATCTTGTCCTGTCGAATTGACCGGTCGATGGAATTCACCCCACCCCCCGCAACATACACCCTGGGTATAATCAAATTATCAGTTTGCATTAAGCCTTCATAGCTTTCAACTTGCAAATTTGGTCGATATGTTTACGTATAGGAAGGAGAGTTAGATCTGATAACCGAATGAAGAAGAATTGATAATAGTTAGAAATACTAAAGCCTAAACGAATTCTGGCTGAAAAGAAGTAGCAGTGATACTCTCTCTCTCTCTCTCTCTTTGCGTAACTGCTTTCGTTAGCGAATTGTTAAAAGAGATTAGTGTTATCCGATACAATCAGCAACCCTAGACCGGTCAGCTGTGTTGTTCCGCTCGCCGACAAGATGCATCCAACGTGTGACCTCCATTTATCTACCCATATACAAATGGTCTGGACTGTCTCTTATTTAACGGCCCAGTGCTATATTCGCGTAAGTGTTAAAGGTAGTCCGAAATATTGACCTTGAGCAATGAAAGTGAGATGGGTTAATGGGATATTAAGAATAAGCGTCAAAATGAATATAGAATACGTGATGTTTTAGCTACTCACCACTTTGTCAATTGTATAGCGTAATATTCCACGCGTAGCATAGAAATGATCAATTTGGTCTTATCTTCTGTTCCAATATGAACACACTTATTGCTGTTAATCCCTGCGCGTTCGAAGCACACAAACTCGGAATGCTCCGACTGATTCGTCGTGCAACTTGTCGTCCAGGACGCCTTGAACCAAATCTACTAATTTTTATTGTATCACATGACACCCTTTGATTGACCTCTTGCCGTTTCTGAACATTTTTTGTACTACCATGAATTCAATAAAAGGAATTGAAATAAGAAATAATGATGATATATCTGAGCCTTTCTCTATAATTCACGGGCATTGTTGACGCGGTGGATGGAGCCACGGTGACCAAGTCTCTCATTAGTTGAACAGATTAATTTACATCTGTTTGGTGAGCGAGTAGATCTCATCCGCTCATGAAGGAGGGGCTGTCCAATACCATCTCACCGAGGATTTTAGGCATTATTTACCGCCAACATGGTTGATTGCTCCAACAGTAGCCCCTAATACACGCCTCAGGTTAGAGTTATGCAATGTTGAACAGAAAAGCGGTGAAATGAATCTCAAGGACCACCAGTTCAGAGATGATACAGCTATCAGNCACCCCTGTACGTTCAACTAACTGATGAACTTTTAGGGCAACTTTGAATGATTCGCCTCACTAGCTGCGCCTGACGCTTCGACTCAAAAGCTACGGATTTCATCATGCATGAGATTCTATTCCCTTTCAGTCTAACAAACTATATAATCATAGAAAACATTACAACTGGAAGGCACCAACTAGCGTTATTCTGGTTTCGATCAATGCACTTACACTTGTTAACAGATTTCATTGGCGTCATTTCATCCATAGTATCTGCTTACACATAAACCAGGTTTCTTCAAGGAACGAGTATAGCAGTTCTGAATGGACATAGAAGAAGTTTATCTGTGCAGTGGTCAATAAGTGGGGACGTCAGAGACATAAACCGTGATCCAGGCGCATCACAACTCCCATTCTGATCTTGATAACTCCAAACGGTGATGTTGTGTACGTTACGATGGCTTCCCCCATGAAGACAAGAGGGGCATGAACCCAGGGGATAGCAACTGTGACAACATGGTCATCACAATAACAACAACAAATTGTTCTTCCGACGTGTAGGTTTTGCAGTGGAGATTGTTTAAATTATGCAACTATGAATCTCTAGATATGTCCCATTTTGTTTTGGAACTCTACCCTCAGTCACAGGCGCTTAGTTTTGCGATCAAAACCGAGTTCAAAACCTTCACTGTAAATAACCAAATCTTAGTATTGGGATATCAAACAGCAGCACTTCTTGTACTTATTCAAATAATTAATTCTATCCTTTTTAATATGAATATAGATACCGATAAAATATACACAAACTTTTCACCAATTCGGTTACATCCATAGCAGATTAGGCGTGTTTTTGTGTTTTAATTCCGTCACTTCGTTGGGGNNTGATAACCGAACGCGCAGTGAATTTCTCACGAACTGCCTACATATCACGGAATGAGCGGGTGAGCGGGTGCATCGAGCTTCGGTTTATGATTTGGAGTCATATAATGAAAAACAGCAATGGAGATTATCTATTCAATTAACCTTCATTCTGATTATTATATAGATGGCGATGGTGGTGTATCAGACGGCAAACGCTGTTTTCCGCAGTATCAAAATATTTTCTAAATATCTCGTTGTGCAACGCTCCGTTGATACAAGTTAAGCTAGTTTGCGGGCATTACCGGTGCTTACTTATACCAGGATCATTTGCGGAAGACGTTTGCCATGCAAATGCACACCAGTCGGAAGATATCGTCACCTGTCGCTATAGACGTGCTAGTTTAGGATTAAATATCAATAACTTGTGAAATATCCCCCCCCCCCGGTTATCACCATCACAAATAGAAGACGTTACAAACCTATCCATTATAATTTTGTTGACAGTTCTAAGCAGAATGCTTCCATCAGGGTGATGTCTCTTCAAAACTATACCCTACCTGGCACCTCTTATCAGGTAGAAATTATATGTTGTCAATACTCGCGAGATCTGAGAATTTTGAAGCCAAATAACCGTGACTAGAATATTATGAGAACCCTTATGGCGTTTCTGAAGACCACAATATCAAAGTAATACAAGAACGGCAACAAGCGGAGCGAAATCGTAGAAAGCGAGACATTTGAAGAGTACATCATCGAGTCGTGTTAAATACCCATCTGAACGCGATCAGATTGCATGAAAGAAACGAGATGTGAATGAAACACAGGAGTATTTATCTCAAAATGGAATGGATGCAACTTACTTTTGTGAACTGATTTTCCCTTCCACCCGCACGCACTGTTCAGCGCCCTCCTGTAGTTAGTAATTGATTTTATGTTCCATGTGCACAGACTTTGACTAGAATGCCACGACAACACTTCCGTAAGATCAATTTGGGCCCGAACGGGGAAACCTTCAATCCAACGCTAAAGGCCCCAGAAAAAAACAATGTGGAGGAAGACTGCAAAAAGCTTCGCGACGCAATGAAAGGACTGGGTAAGTACCGATTGATACAGATGGATCACGCAAGAGTGAATTTGTTTTTCTAACGTAGTGATTCTTAGTAATGTGGTCCAATTTAACTAGTTTACTTTTACACCTCCAGATGTTTCATATCTAGCCCAATTGTATTTTGCACAAACCTTCGAACTAATTATTTGCTTGAAGTCTCAAGTATTTTGCACAAATTGCAGGGTTTCACCAGCCGTGCCCGATATTATTTGAAGTGATTAGGGCATACCACTGTGGACTGTCATGCTCCATGGAAGGCAGGTTGTTTTATTCTGTCCTGAGAGATCAAACAATGATCAAAAACGATGAAACATCAGAAAACATGGAGAACTTTAGTTAGTGATAAAATTTGATGTTCACGCTCGCAAGATACTGATCTCGAGCGCGTCCATAGAACAATCTGCTGAAGCCCGGGTTATTTCCGTGCTTATCGCTAGTAGGCAATGTCACGTGGGGAGCGTTTGCACTAATCGAACATTTTCGCATGAATGCTTCACCACATGGATCTCAGACTTATAATGGTCAAAATATCATCCTAGTAAATTGGTATTTACACAAGTACTGGTAAAAATGATGCTGTGTTCAAAAGTTGTTCGTAAACTGTTGACAGTTAGTTATGATTCGAGAACAAAATGTTCCATTCTCATAATATCACAAGCGAAAATGATAGCGATGATCACTATATGGAGTCAATGACTGGGAAACTTTTTCTTATTCTTTTCTATTCATCCCAATCTGATGTAGATTCAGCGTAAAGATTGAACACACTTTTCCAAATTTCCAACTCAGATTTGCCGAAACTATATGCTGCTCGGTTGTTTAACAGTGATCAATGCTCATGCCAGTTTATTTTCTGATCGCTGCTTTATCTGCACGGTATCTGATCGCCAAAATGGCGTGAACTGATCCATTCAAACTTTGTGAACAATAAACCTTATTGATTATTCTCCAATGATTATGCAAACTTTAAGATAAACGCAAGGATTCAGTTACTAGCGTTAACAAATGTGGTTAGCTGCAGTTCGGGCACTTACACTGCGATTTTCGGTACGAGTCGAAATCGTCATTGGCCCACGTTTAGTGATGGGAATTCGAGGGCAGTGTGGAACGTGATATTTTTGAACTATCCCACAGCCTTTTATGATGAGCAGCTTCGACCCCGGTCGGTTTAACACAAAATATATGTTTTGGTAGAGAACTGATTCAATTGAGATTACATGTCCCGAACGGCCAGTATCGATAGTAGTTTACCGTGGTCACGTAATTTTCCCCTTTTGTTATTCATCACAGTGATTCCCGTTAAAGAATGAATGTTATTCGTTTGGGAATAGCATTTCGGGGTCTGCAATTCACGGCTCTCGGTCATCGTTTTGTTCGGTAGGCATGACAATGTAAATAACTGTGTGCGTGTGTGTGTGCGTATGTGTGGAGTTTCGTTTTGATACCCGAATTTTTTTCTCTTATTTCTTCGCTTATACACAAATAAAATCTCTGAACTGACCGTGGTACATCCTATCTCTGAATGAATAAGGTGTTTTGTGCCCAGGAGCGTTTTTATTCCATAGTTCGTGCTGGATTACATTTATCAGTCAAAATCCCAAGTTTCGACGGGGTTCTACTAATAGGATCCGCGAATACTGGGCAAACTGAGCGTGGAAGAAAAAGCCAAAGCACATTAGTTTACGATTTTAGCAGGGTTGGATATCCTCAACTATGTATAAACACCTAATCTGTCTGGTGTAGAACTCTGGCAGTCGGGGAATCCCGATTCCACTCACTACCCAAATTATCAAACATGGTGGTCCCGAAACCACTGGATCAGATACGGATCTCCACTTTAGGAGTTTAGGGTCTCTGCTGATTCAGTGGCCTTAAAGAATCAGCTATCGTTTTGAAAATTGACACACGATGACTGTCGGTTATAAACCTACCAACGTATTCGGTTCCACTAGCATTCAGCTTAAGCAACAGCGAGACAACGAAATAATACGGAATCGCCAGCCATCAGCAATATCACGTTTGTTGCTCGGGGATAGTCTTTCGGTAATGCCGCACAGGTCTCATAGCATAACTGAGCGCCATCCTGCAGGCTAGGCTGGGAACTCAACATAGATCAAGTGCACTGAGAAACATTGGATGGTTCGGTTTTTCAAAGCTTCCCACATGTAGATTGTCTTTCGAACACTTTCAGGTGAGTACCTGCCTAATCTTCAAAGGAATCTTCATATATTTGAAAGAAATTTGCTTGACTTGATCCCACTGTGTTTATCTCTTTAGAAGTATCTGATTTGCCACGGGATAAGTTGATGACTTCATCTCTGTGCGATTCTATAATGGTTGAAGATATGTGCTTTCCCCTCATTAATTTTCCTGTAAGCATAGTAATGAACATTTCAAACTACGCTAATCAGACTAGGATTGAGGCATAGGTGAACACCATGTGAAGACACTGAACGATGAGTTTTAGAATCATCAACGCAATGCACACACAGACACAAACACACGAGGCAGTCAGCTCTTTTTTTCTTTTTGTGTGATGACGGAAAACAGTTGAACTAATTACGTAATGTGTATGAGCGGCACTGAGTGATAATGATGGGGAAGAATAACGCATCACGACGAAAACAGGCATTTATGGAACAATGACAGAATGCGGTGTGCACTTTCGAGAGTAAGACAGTAAGGTTGGGATTCTACCTACCCAACCATTATCGGTGAATTCTAAGGCTGATGCTCGGTGCCCTCAGTTACTGGAAAATTCTGGATTAAGAAAATACTGGTCATGAACTAACGGAAACGTTCCAACCGGGTATCCAGTGAAAAGCTCCGATGTATTTATTCTTCCTAACTGTCTCACAACAAAACGTTTTGAATAGCCAAAGTCTCGTCCACGGCCCTTTCACTGCACGTAAGATTGCGATATTGAATCGATGTGCATCACAGCATTCCTAGAACACGATACAGACAAACAACGGCGTTAAAGCCGTCATGGGTGAGCAACTGATCATAGAAAATGACGATCAAAATGAAATTCCATTTCAATCCCGTTTCACGTGATCGGTCATCAAATTCGCGCACCAGATAAAGGATGGTTTCATATATATCCTTTGTGGGGCTTCAAAATTCCATTGTACAAAATACAAAAGTGAATGTTAAGTTATAATTTAACATAATTTGGCAAGGTTAAAAACTATGTCGTTCTTTTCACACTGGTCACGAGGGCAAAGTGTTTAGAAATAGTGCTTTTGGTTACTTTCTATATCAGCCCTCTAAGGGGATGAAAATAGAGTAGACGCTGGCCTTTTAACAGCTCTGATGACGCTTCACGAAAAGTTTAGTTCGATAAGCTTGAGTTAGTCCTCCCGAGGACATAATGAAGTCAGAGCTTTCAATTTCTTGGTTTTGCCATTCTCCATCTTAAAATATGATGGCCTCGATCGGTCAGGAGTTAAGTGGATACTTGAAGCGTCTCTATGGAAGTGTGTAACCATGGTATTCTATTTTTCATTCACCTTCTTTTGCAAGGGAGCGATGCATCCAATACACATGTTGATGCGAGGGACAAGTCATGCACAAGTTAAATATTAAGAGAAAATTGATGTCTCCTTTGTTCCCTTCTCATGCAAAATGGGCAACTGACCTGTTTGCAAACACATCGTTGTCCGTCTTGGCCGAATTCGAGGAAAGAGGTGTTTTCTTTCTGCTCTCATTGTTATTCCGACCTCGCTCTCTCCCGTGCCTGTCATGTGCACCAATCTCGCGACACTTCTGTTCCCTCTCTCAGCATGCGTTCAAGATTTGGCAACTAATCAACCACTACTTGGAATGGGATGAGAGATGACATAGGAATATGTGTGCACAAATATGTGCAAATAGTCAAGTCAAGAACGTTTCAGGGCAGATGGGAAACAATTTTCATACAATCAACATGCCTCGAATCAACAATGACGCTGACCCGATTGCTTTTGGTTTCCTTTCAAACACCAAATGTGTTTTCCGTCAATTTTCATTGACTTATTCCGTCGTGTTATGTTGAAAAGCGTCAGAACAGCTCCTCTGTGCTAGGGTTAGACGTTAAGTTGACCACCAAAATCCCGCTTACCTTTGTGGCACGTGGCAGCCGTTTAATGATCCGGTTCCTCGTTTCTGAGAAGTTGCATGCAATCATCCAGCGTTGAGAATTTTTTAAATGACAAAAAATAAAAACGTTTTCGGTTGAGTACCATTCAGATCTGATGGATACGTATCCAGTGTTATCAAACATATGTAGTCGACTAAGGCACAACGCTTGTTGAAGGAACACATCCGCGTTTNTTTGAATCACCCCGGGGCAGATGAATGTTCCAGCCGCATGAAATATGAAACCACTTCCACTAGGTTCTCCTGGAAACCACTGAAACCACTGCTGGGTTAGTAACATCATCGTGAATTCGGTCCCGGCCGATGGAATGACATTGTAGGGTAGCATCTTAAATCCGTTGAATATGTCACTTTTTCAATCAGGGTTCTTTTTTCACGCCTCCGGTCTTCATTGTGCATGCAACATATAGGCAAGATAACTAATTTCAAATGTCCCGTTTGGACGCAGATCTGATTTTCTCGCTTCTGTCGCACACCGTGCTTGTTTCTCACGGAGATAGACAAAAGTACATCGTGTGTGTGTGTGGATCTTGCGATCTCAGAGGCATGGTACCAAAACAAATGAACCACAGTCGTCAAAACAAATTTCCTTATCCATGCGAGATAGAAATTCGAGTGAAGGAAAACAACACTGATGTCATGCTTGTCTGTGACCTTTATCTCATGCACATCTGTACACAAATAAAAGGAATATATATGGGTAGAAGTAGTGTTCATGCAAAACTTGACGAATAATCTCAATTTCACTGAATGTGAAAGCAATATCTCCTGATTGGGTTTTGTCTAAATCAACTGTACAAGCCAGTTATCAAGACTTCACCTCAGTGGGCACTCAAAATAATACGAAATAAGATTAGGAAACAAATTCAACTTTCCTCAAAACACTAAATGATGAAACTTATATCAGAGTAACAACAGGAATTTGTCAAGTTATCCATTTCATTGATCTTCCCCCACATGTCTCAGTTCAGTCAATCAGTGCGGGAGGCACCAGACCGGAATTTTGCACTGGTTGTACCTCGTTTGTGGTGGATCGAGCCCGACCCTTCCGGGTGTCTCGAACAGAGAGAAAGAGGGAAGATGTGTGTTCATTGATGCTATTGCACTGGACAATTCACACTAGGACCTATCGTGATTATTATATCCATTTGATCGTTTCACTACTACCGGAACATGAAATGATAACTGTATTCCTGTTTTCATTTATCACAACTTCACATCATTTTGGGTTGAGTCACAAGAATTTGCATTGCTTCGTTTGCATTCCCTGTAATCACATCGCACTTATCCGTTTTTACGAATTGTCACCTGTTCCCATTTTCAAAAAGGTACCAATGAGGATGCACTGATCGAAGTATTGGGTCACCGGAATATTGAACAACGTTTGGACATCCGTGATGAATACAAATCCCTTTTTGGTCAGGTGAGCACGAGTGTAGGCAATTCTGGAGAGAGAAAAGGTAACAGAAAGTATCGTTATAATTTGTGGGTTGTTTGCTAATTATTTCAAACTCGTCATATGTCGGGATAGAAGCAATACTGATCAGTGACGTGCGATTCCACCTACAGAATCTTTTTGGTCGTGTCCCTGGGAGGGAATGTTCTCAACTTGCACTGAAAAACTGATTGTTTGTTGTTGTGCGCGAAATCATCGATAGGATGTGAACTCTGCGGCATATTTGGGATACAATCAGCAAATTTGAGAAGGTCCAGTAGTTGCTTTGTAGCCACGCGAGTCATTTACAATTCTAGACATAATTAACAGTCGCCTTCATTTGAGCCACTTACTCTTGATCCGTTGTGAATCTGTCGTGCGTACAGGTAAATTACGCCTAATCTGTGTTTAGTTAGTTAATTTTCATCGTAGAAATCTAGATCATTCATCCTATTTAGAAGGCTGTGTAGGTGCTGTTCGTTCCATCGTTTCTCAAACCGATGACATCTGATCCTTTCTCATTGTGCAATACACAATCCTAAATAGACAGCGAACGCTTCCACTTTTGATCATCAAGCCTCACGGTCAACTGTTATCACGTGGAGCACGTGACTAAAAAGCAATTGTATTAGATCATTGTGTCTTAAGTTAACTGTTCGGATCCAAGAAGATTTATCTATATCGGCCTTGATGAGGCTTATGTTAAACAAGAATAACCTCAACGACAATATTTAAGTGTATTTAATGATGACCTGATGATACGACCAATTCTAAAAAATCACACCACGATTGTATGTTATCACTTCGGGACCTCGAAAACANTCGAAAACAATGTAAAGTTTCGACGGTGGCCGGGAGGGGGAGGGTTCAGACAGATGATCTCGTACAATCATCCCCGTCCCCAAATACAATCATGTAATAAGGAAATCTGAATTAAATTTACGACAACTCATCACTATCCGATAGTCGGCTACACATATCATGACATAACCGTGCAACTTTCTCTTCATTTTACAATTTTACTGATTATGAATCAAATTTTAAAACATGCCCGCATTTCTAACTAAAA